AATCACAAGTTTGACGTTCATCATTCTGTTTGCAAAAAGATCGCCACGAATTTTTATCGTCTTAATGAATTGGCTTTACGAACTAAACGCAAGAGAGCGAAACGTCGATAATCGTAACGAACTCAATTGCACACATTTAGAAGCCTTTTCATTCGATAAAATTAATTATCTCGGCAGCTTTATTTTGACTTTAGCTTATCGAGTATTTTATAAATTCCGGCAAGCTGAGTAACACTATTACACGAAGACCTATAAGAACACACGTGTTTTTATCTCGTATTATCGATCATCGCGATGACGTAAATCAATTTTAACGCGCATGGGCGAATATATAAATCTATAAATCATTATATTTCATATTCGAAAGATTTTAAAAGATTGAATGGATATTAAAAAGTCTTACTTTATTTCGAAATCATATATGTATTATGTATACGTACGTTCGGTATACATTAGATTTCGTAGCAATTTTAATATTATTAATACACGTTTTAGTTAATTTATTAATTATACTTGCATAATAGAAAAAAACGTTAAGAATTCGCGTGAGTTCGATAAAATCACGAGATCTCTCGAGAGACGTTGTAAAAAAAAACTTGAAACTTGAACATTATAAAGACTTTTTCTGAAATTTTGCATCTCGTTACTTCTTATACGTCAGCTATCACCTCGAATACGTCAGGTGCGTCCTCGAAACAAATTTATTATTAAAAATGATAAAAAGGAAGGAAGTAGAAAGATTATATCGCAGAGTTCAATATCTGCAACAAGTATAAGCGAAAAATTACCAATTACTTAATGAAAATGTACTTTTATCGCACGCCGACACTCGACCTTGACTGTCTTGACTGCCTTCCTTCTCGCATCTGACGATCATTAAGGTCGAAATATTTAAATTGAATTTACGAGATCTGGCCCCGAGGCTATTTCGTAGACTACTTCGCGGAGGTTGAAGAACCGAGACGAGGAACCGAGCGGCAAATGTACGCAGACTAGTGCGAAGGACCGTCATCCATCATAGATCACAACGTGGACGCTTATATGACGAAATTCTCTGTACACGATGACCGTTTCTTTATTTGCGAATCTCAAACTTTCAGAGAGATCCGAAGCAAATAAATAAATAAATATATATATAATATATTTTTTGGATCGTTATTATACGAAAGAAAATGAAGGAATGAATTGTTGCTTCGTCAAACGGATGAAACAAATCCACGTTCACACGGCTGAGACTCGCGGTCATTAACAGACGTTCAATGTTAATTCGAGAATTTAACATGGTGCAGCCTCCGCACTTCTAAATTCCGCTGATGATCTTAGGGTATATATATACGATTTATATACACCGGGCCGCGTCACGGCAAATGTACTTCGTCTCGGCTTCTTAAGTATTGCCTAAGTAAATCGACGTCGATTAATCAGAAATGACAGGAGGACTAGCCGGCTGCCCAGCGGGCATAGTTTCTCGCCGGTTTCGTAATTAGAGGCGCTAATTTCGCATACCTGCGCACAGGTCTGGTCGACGTAATTTCTGGATTTATCACCATTATTTTTCTCGAAGGCGCGTCTCCCGTCTCCGTGAGAAAGAGAGAAAGAGAGAGAGAGAGAGACAGACGGAAAGTGTGCGCGTGAGATTCTGCCTGTCGGATTTAATTCACCAGGGCTACTTATTCGTGCCGTCGCTCGCATTACAGACGGTTAAACACAATAATTTGGTCGGATTTCTTTCCTTCAAGCTCACCATCCGAATAAGTCGCATTCGCGTCTCCGCGATCGACTATAAGTGTCTTCTGTCAATTATAACTGCCAATTTTTATTTAGCGCAGACCGTAATTTGCATCGAGAAATTCCTTAATTGAATCAAGTCCATTGAACGACGAGAGAGAGAGAAAGAGCTCCTCCAAGTGCCCGCAAAAAAAGTCTATACGCGAATATTTAATCTGCCAATCAGCGAGTTTTCCTCGATTTCTTTTTTAAATATATCGCAATTAAATCAACGAACAGAGAAGAGAGATAAAACTTAATTTGAAGATCACGAAAATTATAAGCCCGCCACTTTTGGTCTCCGTCATTACTTTTATTAGGATTTATGGCTTCGTCACGTTCGCTATGAATAAATTTCACAATTTGCAAAGTGAATAATTTTCTCAGAGACTAAAATTTATCAATTGGAAGTATCGATTGGCTGATCGATTGATAAGAATAGGTGTAATTTGTATTCGACAACGATGAGTTATTTCTGCGTCAAGAAACCTTGGATAACTAATCGCTCATTCTATCATATATATGACGAAAATCGCGCATACACGAAACCAAAATTTATCTATAAGAATTTATCTAGTTATTTATATAAATCCGTTGACCTTATTTTCTTCAATTTGCGCGATTGAACAATATTGAAGAAAAATATTATTGCTTCGATATTCCGAAAAGATCGATGTTCTACCTAAGTTTATAAATTTTAATAACATTTAAATAGATTGTAGAATCATTGTAATACACTTTGGTAGAAAGAAAAGTTAATAAGTAACCTAACGAAATCATAGTAGGCAATGCATAGTTACAATTTAATAATTTACATATACAGTATAAGTTTGTAATATAAATTGCATCCCTTTTCTCTCTAATTTTCTCTAATTGTTCTCGCGTCCCTCGGATTCCCCATTTTGCTTGGTGTGTTAAGTTAAAAGAACGAAGGAAAAAATTACGCGCAGCAGACTATCGCGTTACGTGGACTACGCGCGAACTTGACACCGACAAGGACGTGTTTCGAAAGGAGGAAATAAAAAATAGCAGCAGCTCCAACCCGTTAAAGGACGCGCCAAGTCAGCCGTTGAAGCCTCGAGCGAGACCGTCGATCGATTACCAAATAAATCACGATCCACGACAACCGTAAAGTGATCGTTAACCAAACTTTCCGTTAGCACGCTTAGATTATCACTCTTCCTGCTTCTGTTAAATAGCACACGAAGATACAAAGTATACAAAATGTATAACACGAAAAAAATAGTTCTAATTAAGAAATTTTAATTAAAGAAAAATCTATTAATATTGAAATGTTTGCGCACAATATGAGATGTTTGATACATCTCATACAATATATATAAATGTGTGAAACTCTTATTATTTATTTATGCTAATTATAACTTATAACTCATCCGATAGCAGTTATATAATTTCGAGTTTTCTCATTTATAGGTATACTGATTATTATATATATTATATATTATATTGTATATATTATATATTATATATATTATATATATATATATATATATATATATATATATATTTAGAGGTATATATATTATAGAGAGAGATTATAAAATGTTATATATTTTCATCTCGACAAGAGGTTCGAAAATTTTCCAACTGGAAATAACGAGTCCTTCGTCAAACGCGGTGACGAGAGTCAGTCATTCCTCGAGCCCTTGTCGCGCAAAGGGCCCGAGAATCGCCCTAGATCCTCGGGCGTGGCGATTCTCGCCACGACGATCTGAAAAGGGAACCCATCGTTTTACGTAATAACACTCGGAACGAAGCGACGACGAAGGAACGACGTAAAGGGAACAGGCTTCCACGTTCGCTCTCTCCTCGCGTGTTCAGGATCGTTTCTTCGACTCCGACACGTCATTCTGGTGCGATACCTTCCTTCGTTCGCGGCGACGTCGAAAGACAATTCAACTGCCCTTTCCACGAAGCCAAATACCCGCGCACGATCGTTACCTTCGGCAGCAGCACGAATCTCGTGTTTCGGCGTTATTGTATTCGGTAATGATGCGCGCCTTATTACGAATGAATGAGACCTTTTAGCGGCATTAGTGACCCACCGACCGGACGAAAATTTACCCAAAAAACAGGAATTAGAGATTGAAAATAACGGAGGGTTGTTATATCCCTCGAAAAATGTGCAAGGTCGCGTTACCAAACTATATCGTGACTTATGTCTGTGACCGTTTAATGGCATATTTATAATAGTATATCGGATAATTAAGATATTCCGAAAATGAGATATCATATTTTGATATTACCGCAATTGAGAACTCGTAGCAGAAATTCAATTACGCAACACATCGCGATTTCATGTAAAAATAGGGCAATTAAAACGTATGGAACAATTTCGTCGTAATTATTATCTGTTGAAATATTCATTTGATTCACATTACTCACCGAGATAATACGAGCCACGAGCGTTTCCATTCCAAAATAGATATGAGGAAGGATAGGCGTTAATAATCGTCGATCGTGACGACTGCTTATCCTGTTTCTTCGCTCCTGTCCTGAAAAGAAAAATATAAAAAAAATTAAAAAGAGAAAAAAAGGATCGGATGAGATTGGAGAAACTAGAAACTAGCATGTGAGAGAGGAACCGGCGAATGAGATGGGGGGGAAGGGAGAGGAAAGGGGGGATAAAGGAAGAGATGAAACGAAACGAAAGAGGCAAGTCGAAGGAAGGAGAGAGCGAGAATACTAGAGTACGTGGAAGGGGAGTCTCTATGCGGTACCCGCGCGAAGCCAGTCGGTCGGATATGCCCCGAGGCCGTGATAGACAAGGTCAGCCTCTCCCAGCCTCATGTATATCCTCCTGCTACTGGCAGCCGTGTGTGCTCTCTGCTGCTCTCTTTTACGTTTATTTATTTATTTATAAATATAACCGCGCGCGCTCTTTTCTGCGGCGCGGCTAACGTGGAAGCGGACGATGGGTGATGCTTGGCAACCGAATCTCGTTTTTCCCTCGTCTCATTTCGCGGGACATATCGTCGTAAAGATGTGTACCATATATGCGAAACGAACGTCTACCGAGTCCGAAGTACAATACATTCTCGTGTGTCACGTGCGCGCACAGGAAGTTATTAATTTGCATTTTAAATCGGGGAAACATAAAGTTTCCAGCAATGGCGGCCGCCGCTAGTCTGTTTTTTTTTTTAAGGATCGACGAATCCACTCGCTATTTCTATTTCTCTCTGACACCAAAGTATTGTTCTGTTGTGTTGCAGATATTCGGTAGCAAGGCGGACCTGCAGCTCCATACGCAGATCCACATGCGCGAGGCGAAGCCGTACAAGTGCACGCAGTGCTCGAAGGCGTTCGCCAACTCCTCGTACCTGTCCCAGCATACGAGGATCCACCTGGGTATTAAGCCGTACCGTTGCGAGATCTGCCAACGGAAGTTCACCCAGCTGAGTCACCTACAGCAGCACATTCGCACGCACACCGGCGACAAGCCGTACAAGTGTCGGCATCCGGGCTGCACGAAAGCGTTCAGCCAATTGAGCAATCTACAGAGCCACTCGCGATGCCACCAAACCGACAAGCCGTACAAGTGTAACTCCTGCTACAAGTGCTTCTCCGACGAGCCGAGCCTGCTCGAGCACATACCGAAGCACAAGGAGTCGAAGCACCTGAAAACGCACATCTGCCAGTACTGCGGCAAGAGTTACACCCAGGAGACCTATTTAGCGAAGCACATGCAGAAGCACGCGGAAAGAACGGACAAGAGACCGCCGATCATCGGTACGGGCCTCAGGCCGTCGATACACGCGATGACCCATCATCAGGACCATTATTGGCCCAAGGTAAGCCCGGATTCGGTGATCGGCGACCTGCACGAGAGGCTGCCGCATCATCACGCGGAGTACCATCAGAATCAGAATCCGGAGATGCTGCTACCAGGACACGGACATCGCACCGCCGAGTCCATCGAGAATGACTCGAGGCAACAGACGCCCCAACCGGGGGCGAATCATCATCCCAATAGTAGTTCGGCCTTCACGCCGATCTCCTCGATCTCGATCAACTCGATCTCCTCGATGCAGCACTCGTTGAACCCGCTGAATCATCTCCACTATCCCAGTCATCACCCGGCCTCCCGGCCGTATCTCTACGAGGCGTTTAACACGACGCAGAAGTCGTCGCCGACGTCCTCGGCATCCGGGGTCACGCCCGGCACCACCAGCAACCAAAACGCCACGTCTTTCCCGAATCAGCTCATCAGTCTCCACCAGATCAGGAACTACGCTCATCAGCCGAACCTCGGCAATCTGGGCAATCTGGGGAATCTGGGGAACTTGAGCAATCTCAGCAATCTCAGTGCCACGATGGAGAGCCACGCGCTGTTGGGCGGTCTCAAAGAGAAGCAGTAACTCTGACTGGGTCTTGGAGATTAACTTCAGGAAGCACTCGCGAGCTCTCTTCATCACACGGTTCTTTAATTCCTTTTTTTCTTCTCTATATACTTTCCGTGACAAGGCACGTCTTGCGACTTGAGCCCTTCAAGCTTCATCAGCCCGGCTCGATCGTCTTCTTCTCTCCGTGATCTCTTTATAACCCGTCTAAGTTATTTTTCACGCTGGTGTATACGCAAAATCACTCCGAAAACTAAACTTTCCCTCGAGATGTTTCACTTCGGTGTTTAACTGCATTATGCATTCCTATTGCGTAGGTATGTATGCATGTAAGAACAGTAGCGCGTCTCATCGTAATCTTTTAATAGATTAATATGTACGATGATAATCGGTAAGCCGGAAAAACGGACAAGAGATGGTCGGAAATCATTTTCGACAACCTATACAAGACTATTACTCTCTTTCCTTTCTACCTTTCTCTTCCTCTTTTTTTACCTTTTTTGCTTATTTTTAAAGGTCTTATCTAGAAGATATTTCGATTTCGCGTGTACGACTCGATTGAGGAATGCGCTTGCGCGTTATGTGTTATTATTTTACGTATGTGTATCAAATATATATACGTATCTTTTATTCAAATATATCAACACGCATAAGCACGATGATCTAATTTGGAAACCAGTCATTGCATGCAGAGCAAAGACATTAATTCGGATTGAAACTATTCTCTTAGTTCCGATTGCCAATTAATACCGCGTTCTCGAATTAGTATCATCGTTCTCGAATCGATTCGTGAAATCGATCACGATTCTAATAAATTCTACAGTTTTTCGTAAAAAAAAAAAAAATCATTATGTATAATTTTCTTTTTGTGTAACTGCATCTTACTATCCTGATTGTTAATAAAAAAATGGAAAGACGTTTGAAATATTTACAGTGACAGATTTACAATATTTAACCAAAGCTCCAAATCACACACAATACGTTAACACGATAGAAACCTCGACGGTTACATTCCTTAATGTAATAAGACTGACGTGATGTAGTTAAAAAAAAAAAAAAAACTATATCTTTACATACTGGTCTAATTATTAATAAAATCGATATTATGATCGCTATCGATCGCGTCTCAAGAACCGTGTTTTTTTTTTTCGTTATCTCCTGCAACTGAAAATTTTCAATTTCTACGTCCGTTGAGAATACAATCAGATATTTACTCGACTCTTTCAGAATAATCCACGCTTCTCGGCGTGCTAACGTCCTCGCCAATGATCATGCGTGCCAATTACGAGCTAGAAAGTTCCATCAATACGCATTCGTCGCGATATATAATCCGTACGATCTTGACGACGTTTGAATGATAAAGTGGAGCACGGATCGTGGATCAACTTGTATTCGAACGGTAGACGATACACTTTCATAATGCTAGAAAGTATACGATATGCCGCCGGTGAGATGAATAAACTGATTTCTTTCTCAGTTTTATATATATATGTCGTGAAAAATATCTTAGTTGTGAACGGAGAATCACATTTTCCGTTGATCGAAATGATCAATGATTTATATTTTTATAAAGTTATATATACATACATATATATATATAATAGCAAATGTGTGTGTTTTTCAATAAATTCGCTCTCTAAATTCAATAATTTTTTTTTTGAATCTAATCGGCGAACTGTTCACTCTTTCGACACATCCCTATATATATGTATTTCTTATCGTTACATCTTATGAAATTTATTTGGACGATCGAGATTTCAACTGGAATTATTTTTTACATTGTTTCCACAAACTCGAAGAATATTTTAAGTTTAATTATATTTCAAATTCTATAAGATATTAATTACGCAGTTTTCTTTTACTCTTTTGTGTTTTATTTACGTATTTTCCTTCGTTATATATATATAAATATATTTAGATACATATTTATATATATATCAAAGTATTATAATTTCATGAAAAATATAGTTTGTGCAGTTTACATAGTTAAAATTTAATTTCTCGTCGTAATGTTGTGACTATGCGAGTTTTAATTGTTTTAAGAAATATGTTGTCGCGATTTATATATCAAGCAGATCACCTTGAAAGACGAATAATTATGAAAGGGAACGTACGAAATTAGTGGACTGATAATAAATAAGAAAATTAGACGTAAGACAAAACAAGATACTTGCAAATGCGCTACGTAAATGTACGCGGAAGAAGACAGATAGGTTAAACGTACGAAGGACGAGCGAAAAAATTCATTCTAGGACATTCGCAAAATTATGCAGGAACGCCAGTGGTAACAAAGACATAAGGAGGAGAAGAACTGTAGCACGAAACGCGTAGAGAAACTGGCATATAAAGAGATACACAAAAAGGGAACGTATAGAAATATACACGCGGACACACACACGCACACACACACACACACACACACACATTTACACATTACAAAAAAAAGTATAAAAGCATCACGCACATTCTGTAAGAGAGCCGCACGGAGACCTCCTCTTGTAAATAGGTGCTATATAAATAAATAAATAAATAAATAAGTATATGCATATATTAATAAATGAAAATGAATATATGCATATACGCGTATATACAAGGATATATAAATAAAGAAATAATTATTATTATCGTCACACCGAGACTTCATCATCTTTATTAGCATCATTATTATCATTATTATTATTATTAATATTATATTATTATTATTATTTTTATTTACTTTATTATTATATTACTATTATTATCACTATTACTATTATTATTATTATTATTATTATTATTGATTAATATTTTGATCGATATTTAGTAGGTGTGTAAAATAAAGAGAAAGCACACAGACTCTCTAGTAATGTGAAAATATTCTAAGTACCTTATTTAAGATCTAAGTAATCTTATTATGTAATCTGTTATATATATATATATATATATATATATATATATATATATACGTGTGTGCGCGTTGCGTGCGCGCGTGATGAAGAGAAAGAAGAGATGGAGAGTGAAAGAGAGAGGGAGGAAGATAAAACATGTATGTATATGCGAAAACTATTGTAGATAATTTGTTGTTACGGTGCCGGACGTGTTCTCCTTCGGGGTTCCTATGTAATTCCAATCGAGTTCCATCGAGTTAGCATTGTGTTTCACAAAAGAAAATATAAAGCTTGATCGTTAAGTTTTGCATTTTTAGTCGTGCATTTTACGAAAATTCCGCTTTTATTTCCGCTACTACTCTGTCGAACTCTTACGCGGATTATATCGCGGATGCCAATTTATTTTCGATTATTCCATCAAGGTAAATTCGCTCGCGATTTTACTTCGACGAAGAAAAAAAAAAGAACGAACCCCGTGGTAGTTCACGTCCGGGCCTTACCCTATGCTCAAGTTGTTTAAAACTATTACGTTGTTATTAAGATGATGATAGGACAATGAATGAGAGAAGGGGCGAGGGGTAATAATGAGTAATATGAAAAAGAAAAAGAGTTCAGAGTTCATTTTCTTGCTGGATATATGCCGGAAGGCAGACCAGATTCCTTTGTACAGACGGCATGTGACGGCTCGCTTATTTCTGGATATCCTCCAAAGTAAACGTCAAAGAATGAACGGATAAAAAAAAAAATATAGGTAACCGTGTATTCGCGTGGGTGCGCACGATACATTAAATATAATGCATTGAAAATGTTGGATATTATGCATACATCTTGATTTAGATTGACAATGGGGCGAGGAAAAATGTTTCGAATAATAAGTGCGTAATTTCGATCGATACAATAAATACAGGGAAAAGGATAAGATAGATAGGTAGATATCCGTCATTTCGTTCATACAATGAGAAATGTTAGGGAAACGCGAAAATAGGATGAATTCGCAGGTGAGCAAGGGTGTGCAAGATAGGAAACTCCGAAACCCCGCGCTGTAAATGTGATTTCTTCTGCCTATCCTTAGTTTCACATTGATTATATATTATTATTATTAATATTTTATTATTATTATTATTATTTCGTTTAATAAACTGTCACGTGTTAAAATAAAGGCAAAGGAAAATTTCTCGACATGTAATGTGTTGAGTTATTTTGTTTCTCTATTTTCTGTCAAAATATGATATGTGAATTTGCTTTGGCCTTTCCCTTCTCTCTCATATCATACGATCGTCCCTTCGTCCTTTCGTCCATTGTTCTTAAAAAGCATTTCAACTTTACACTGGCGATTATTAATTTTTGAAAAAATAAAAGAAGGACATTTTTATTTTTTTTTTTTATTTTTTATTTTTTTTATTTTTTTGCATTTCGGATTTGTAGACTAAAGTCGAAAATTCACCGAGAAAAAACATCGAACGAATATGCTGAATAAAATAATATACAGTTCATTTACCGTGTTTAAATGTTTCCGTAGAGAGATACTTAATGTTGAAACACACGTTAAGATAATTAAGGCAAGGATCTCACATCTCAATTTAATCTACATTAATCCGTAAGTACACATACGATCTCTTTTCGTAACATAAATACTGGATTACTATCATTTATTTTTTTCTTATGTTATACCTTTGAGAAAGATAATGTATTTAAATTAAATAATAACGCAAGAATTTTCTGTTGGAAATTATTGTTGAAATAACATTGTTATCGGTACATATGGATTATTGTTTTATATATTCTCGCGTACTTATAAATATTAGTATCAATTATATAAAGGAATAAAATGGTACAAATCTTTATTACCGATTTTATTCTCAACCATATTCTTAATCTTAGTTTTTTTTAGTGCGCTTTTTTCACATTTTTAATTGATGGGTGTAAATTTGCTTTTTATTAAGTCACTAAAATATCCTATGTATATCCGTTTTGTCAAAATATACCAAATGAAAGACTCAAAAAGATATATATATATATATATATGTATCAAGATATGTATATATAATATACATATATATGCATACATATATATATATATATATATATATAAAACATTTTTGTTTAATTTTTTTACCGCAAAAAGTAGTAATAATTTACGCGAGCTGAAAGAAGAATATAACTTCGAATAAATTAAGTAATATATATATGTATACTTAATTTTTAGCGGAAAAAATACTTAACATACGCGCATCTCGAATTTATATTCTTCTTTCAGCTCTTATATACAAGTTATTCACTGTTTTTTGTCGTAAAAAGATTAAAGAAAAATGTTTTTTTTTTCTCCCATCGCATCCGCGAACTCTCCCTTCCATCGTGCGCCACTTTGTTCCCGTTGTTCGCCACCCGGATTATTTCATCCTTCGCTGACTTTGTGTCGCAATCTCCTTTGTCCTCTCGTTTCTTACGTTCGATTACGAATAAATTTTTCGCGAGACACTCGAGCGCACTCGGTTACTACATAGCGCTCCGCGTGAAATGCCGTCCATTTCTATTCTTTCGTTGTATATGTATATGTATATACAAAAGTAAGGGAGATCCTGTGTCGCGACATTAAACGCGGTTAAAGAGAATGTTTTTTCATCTATATACTTGTACGACAAAATATACCCTCTCGCGTCGGAGAATATTAGGGATTTCGGACGAGATGTGATAGCAGAATTAGAAGAGGCGCTGTTTACAAAAACCGATTGACAAAGTTGTTCTCTTTGTGCGCGATTAGTTCCTCTGAATGACAACGATTCTTTGGGAGACGCGAAAATGGAAGATAGTAGGATACACCCTTTTTAGCAATACTTATATAGCGAGCACGGAGGGAGAGCACGAAGTCTTTCGATATGAAAAAAAGGATGTCGATGAACGATCGCTTAACGCAAATAAATTTCGCATTTGAAGCAATAATTTACGGTCTGCGTCGATTATCGTATATAAGTGTAAAAAAAAAAAACAAGCAGAGAAATCTCTCGACACGAATTCTCTCTTCAGGATTCAAAGACTTGCGAATGATGCGCGCGCGCAAATTTGC